TTTTTTTGTTGTTTTTTTTTTTTTAACCAAGCTGATCAAAGAGCCTTAACTGAATTATACTTTAATTAAAGAGTCATAAAAGTCATGTAACTAAAAATTACATTGTTGCATCAATACCTGAACTGGGTAACTTTGCTGTACACTTGGTATTCAGGCAAATGGCAATCTCGCAGTCGTCAAGCTTCTGAGTACAAACACCTACCAACTTTTTGTAATAATAATTTACGTTAACACAGTCTCAAATCAGCAGACCACCATTTTTCATGCTCATACAGACGGCTTCCTTGGCGTTACAAATAAAGAATTTGGAAGATTTTTCACAATCTTTAACGGCGTCTTTTCCGATGCCAATACAAACAGGACATTCCATCGGCTTATATTCCTCATTCTCGAACCAGTCCCCTTAGAAAAAATAAAACTGTACAAGTTAGGCGCTATGCAATGAGGATGTTGCTAATTAGATCAATTCTCTTCCAAAATCATTACTTTGTGTTTACCAGGGAGGGGCAGAGGTACCAGACAAAAAATGTTCCTAAAAAGTTATGATGAAGAAATAATAAAAACAAATTTTATTATAGAGGAATAACCAGCGCCAATATTTTTTTTTGGTGATTTTAATGCACGCAGGGATGCCGAACGAAAACTTGAAAAATTTGGCCCAACGTTTTTCAAGTTTTAATCCGTGTCCACAGGCTATCCACGTCCATCTTTGCCATCCATTGGTAACACTGAGGCAACAGGAAACAGTTTCAGTGCCACAATATAGTGTTAAACAACAAAACTGTACCATTATTTTTGGAATTCAAATGACGCGAGAACCATTTTAGCTTGTAAAAAAGATAGTAAACAGCGTAACATATCCCCTTTAAGTATAATGGTCCGGGTAAGACAGGAAGCAATTTCTTTTGTTATCGCGCAATACGCTCACGTAGGAATGTCTTTATTTTCACACAGAGAATGAATAAACCTCCAAAGAGATTTACGAAATGAATTGTATTTAAACTCCACTTTTAAGGGGTGTTTTTCTTTTGTGTGTTTAAGAATTTTGACCAATCAAGAGCTGCAATCAACAGCCAAAGAAAAGTTTCCAATTTCACATGTTCCTCACATAGGATTTCTTTCTTCCTAAGACTCAAGATTTTGTCATAAGGAAGTTGGTAAGGATTAAAATACATATGCAGCTTTATACCCTGAGTGCCAGAGACTTTTCTAGCGCGGTTTCCGAAAATTCCCGCCGCACGCGAGAAACACCTCTGGTACCCAGGGTAGCTGCTTTGCGAAGATTTCGTAAAATTTGCTGTTTAAACCAATCAGAAGTATGGAAGAGACAGTAGTAAAGTTAACACCTATTTGCATTCCCACGTGTAACTTCAATACATTTGGTTCTTTCCGTCTTATCTGGACCATTACTTAAATTTATTATCCCTCACCTCTGACAATGCATTGACCAAGAGAGTAAGAAAATGAAGTATTGTCATGTTATTCGCATTGGTGTTACGTTCGATCTCTTGTAATCTTATTGCTATACTTAGCTCGATGTTAAGTCATCTACTAATCAGCTGTTGCAATACAACTACTAAAACAAAAATATCCGCAGCTTCAGGAAATCCATCCCAAAGAATGTGCCTGCAACTCAGTATGTTTACCGTTTAATCAACTGTCTCGAAACTTATTGTACTTGACGTGTAGGCGAATTTTCAAACTGTTCATAATCGTTATTCGTTCAGTGATCTATTTATGTACACCTTCTTTTTAAGTGTGGCCTTCTTATTCACCCACTGAGTCCTCCTCCACTCTCAAAGTTACTTGGCCCTATAGACTGTAGGTATTAGGCCTACCATATACATTTGTGAGTTAATAGAGAGACTCGAGGACGCGAACGATTAAACGAGCACGAGATTTGAATTAAAAATAGACACCTTGGAATGCTTCATTGGCATTTGTCCTCTGGAAAAGTAGTACTGTTATCTTTATTAAAGGAGACTAAGCCCTCTCCCGACAGGAGTACCCAACGAACATTTTTCGCAAAATTGATTATACGATGTCGTAAACGCTAGCAAAGTGCTTTTACGTCAACCTATGTTAATATTTAACTTTCCTGGGAAAAAAATACCCGCTCTACACTGCTAGCCAGCAAGACTTTCAGAAAATAAAAATCCCAGCCAGCAATCATTTTTGACGGTTTTTTGCCAGCCAGCAAGGTTAAAAAAACAAAAATTACGCAATCCCAGCCAGAGTGAAACGGAATTCGGTGTTTGCCAGCCAGCGGTAGCAGAAGTAAGTTATGAGCCAGCCAGCAAAGTTTCATTTAACACATTGCCAAGAAAAACATGTAAGTCAGTAGGCAAGATTTGTTTTACGTCAAATTTACATAACGTAAAAGAAAAGCGTGTTTAACCTGTTTCACCCTTTTATCTAGTTGTCGTTTTTTTTTTTTAGATATAGGGAAAAGATGAGTGTATTTGTTAAGTATATGTTATTCCCTATCCCTAAGTATTACATAACTATAACATAACAACTAAAGACATTCAGCGGTACTTACAGTTTTGGAACGTGGACTTGAGAAGTAGTCTTGAGTTTTTGCCAGGTAAACGATAAAAAGGAAGATCCCGAACTTTGTCCATAGCACAATAAAACGTAAAAAAAGTGATCACCGCAAAGCCTTAAGACCAATGCATTTTTTTCCAACGATAATCGACTGAGGCGAAAAAAAATTTAAGAATAAACAACATAACGAGTAAGCTCGATCTACGTGGGGTCTCCTCTGCAAAATCACCCCAAATTCAGTGTAGACACATGCTTATCGCCAGCCTTGTATGCCGTGCCTACTGTTACCCCGCAAAAAGTTTACACCAGAACTGATAGAAAGTTTCGAGTAAACAGGCTTTCCGTCGGAAAATTCTAACCGCTACGGCTGAAAACCACGAACCCAAAAAGTAAGGTAACGTTTGCGGTCTTTAACTCGAGTTTCAACGTGGGGAGGATGGTTTCCTCTTTCTTCATTTACGAAAACGCCTGACAGCAAACAAGGACCTTTCTGTTGCGGTATAAAAAAAACAATACTGTCCATGTTTTCAAATATGCTATGGCAACAGTTTACTTTTTAAAGCCAGAGTGATAACGTGTTCTTGTAGTAACTTTCTCCGCACTAGTATTAGAAGAGCTTGTCATCTTGAGGTTTGATCTTACTCACTCATTTTTTCTCTAGCCAAAAAGCCATAATGGTATGTCGACAGACAATCACCACAAAGGTTTCGCAGCAAAAGCCAATAGTCGTCGGTAGTCAGTCAGGCAATCACCGTAAAAGTTTCACACCAGAACTGGTGCAAAGTTTCGCAGCAAAAGCCAGTAGTCGTAAGTAGTCAGTCAGGCAATCACCGTAAAAGTTTCACACCAGAACTGGTGCAAAGTTCCGCAGCAAAAGCCGATCGCCAAAAAATGATAAAACTTCTAACATTTGATAACAGTGTTTCCGCCACTACCACATTTTCGCAAAAATGACGCTGGTAAACGAGTAAGCACTACTTAGTGCTGAGGAAAATCTCGTACTTGTAGTCGTCCTCGTCTTCGAAGTGTTCTTTTAGCTCAAGAAAGATAACTGCCGTCAAGTAAGGACGGTAGGTTTTAGTCTACCTTCAGGAAAAGTCGCTTTACAGCCTGACTTCTCGCACATAACATGTTCACATCCTGGCGTACTATCACACGTCGGTTTGATGTAATCATTATAGTACTTCTTGCTAAAGCAGTCCCTCATTACCAGTCCTTTAGTCCTTGTACTCACACAAACAGGGTCTTCGTACTGACAATCATAATACACGGCGACGTCGTCACAGCTTTCCTCGGCCGACAGAAATCTCTCTTTAACACTAGTACAAACTGGACATTTGAACACTTCTTTGGAATCAGCAGCTGCATCTAAGAGAAGAGAGAATTGAAACATTTCGGGGCAAACTGTTTTGTATAGATTATTTTATCACGCGGCAGCGCGACTGAGCTATTCAAATCAAGTCAGGTTTATTTAAGCAGGGTGACCCTATCAGCCATTGGCTGGTATCAAAAAGGGCCCTGCGCAACCGGTTATGATTACATTATAGAAACTATAATTATGTAGAAAGACTCATTTAAAAACGCGAACCGAGCATATTAAACTTTTAAGTTTAATATGCTCGGTGCCAGTGAATCGTGTTGCTTCGTTGCCATTTTCAGACCAAAGAGGTCCAATTTTCTAGGGCTTATATGTTATGCGAACAGCGGAATAAAATTGAACAAATTGGAAAACGTCATGTACACCCAATGCGCACAATACCGCGATTTTTTTTCCCCTGAACCTTTACAATTCAAGAAGATAACCTCAAACGCCCACGTAAAATCTCAGATTTTTGTGTTAGTAAAGAAACAATTGGCTTTCAAGGTAATAAGTTTGTATCCTTTACTTTTCGTATTAAGCAGGTCACGAGACGGGCGTATTCAAACATCACGAAAGCACATGCATTACAAGGTTCTCTTGATAGAACCCAATCAACAGTTTTTTCTTTTTCGTATAAGGAAAGGCAAAGGAATATCCATCGAAACCGCCGGAAAAAGAACAATTAACTAAAACTAGTAATCTTGCCAATGAATGAAGCACGGAAAGATATGGCCCCTTGGGAACTACATTTCGTTAATTTTCAACAAACTAAGTTCCGAAACTTGGCAACTTTAACTGATTAATAACTGGTAAATAGTGCCTTTAGGAATATTAACCTCGCCGCGAATATTCCGTTTCTATTCACCTCGTGTTCAAGAATATTAGAGTGCTTAATTGTTAATTGTCCAATGTGAAGCACGGTACAAAATATCAGTCAAAGCAGGAAAAGGTGTTTTCCACATGATTCCTGGTCATGTCCTTGAGAAAAATACTCGAAACCTTTATACGTTTTATCCTTCCTCTTTCAACAGAAAATACGTTCACACGATCGCGTGTACGGCCGTCTTTGTAGGACCCGCGCATTTTGTGTTCAACGCTTATCCAGGCCGCAATGCTACTTGCCCTCTTTCCAGCTGTTCCAACAAAAACGATGGTCCACGCGGTCGCTTTAACTGTATTTCTACCGTTTCTTGTAAAGGATCCGTTTGTGTAGAAGTTTTAACCAGTTTCTATGGTAGGTTCTTCGTTGAAGACGGACAATTTATCAAGCACACACCCTCCACATCGTCCCTCTACTTAGGCAGCCATTATTTTCATTTATTGACCCTCGCTTTGGCGCGCTGAATCTTCCAGAAGTCAACCAGTTTACCGGAAACTGTCTCCGCATGGTCCACATAGTTCTAAAAATTTTTTGAAATTAAGATACCCCAAAGGCCTGACTGGGAGACTCCTTCTCTGTCCTATTATGGCTCTTGGGTATCTCTATAAGGCTTTTTACCCCTTGCTAATACGTCGCTTATCCTTAGAAGACCTAACGGATTAAGTCTGTTTTGATGAAGGAGTTCGTATGTCATGTGGTCTTTTGCTCTATAGTGATTTCTTGTCTTTGTTCTATCAAAAATTGACCTCTGATCTCTAACTGAAGGGTGTTAAAATTGTCCTTTCTTTATTTTTGAAGGTGGCTTAAGAACTTTAGGCTTCGTTTTCCATGTTTTCTTTTTGGCAAAAGTTTTGGATTTGAATTGATATTTTAATAGTATGAGATTCCCTTCTAAAGTTTGACATGCTGGACCCACTCGGCTCGTTGGCGTTGCTTGCACTGAGGATATTGAATCCCCATTAAAGCTATCCTAGTATCTTTGCAATGTTGCACGCGTCAGTCATTACTCCAAGCCCTTTCATGAAAATTACATTAATGCATATCTTAGGGCGCGTTTTATATGTTATTATTCCTCCTTTTGCAGTTATCTTGACTGTTGCTAGCTAGTAGGAAGTAACATTACTTTTAACTTTGTTTTGTTTTGTGGCAAGAGCGGTACAACTCGGACTAACGCATTTATCAGCCGTTTCAGGGATCGGAAATTCTCGTTTTCCAGTTGGTTGTTAAGCAGCCAATTAAAAAGGATGGATTTCAGATCCACTTGTGCTTGAAGGAGATGAAGTTATGCATTGTTCCTTTTTTGAGAAAGTCTTTGTCTTTGACGATAATTTGAAATATCTGCTTTTTTTTTGCTTTTTTTTTTTGTAGTCAAAAAGTAATATTCTCGTTACATCAAGAGAGGTTTTCTTCACTGGCTCTCATTATGCACATCCCCTATCTAAAATGAGACATAGATCAGGATATATCCCGGAAGAAGTCGTTTATCTGCTGGCTTAGAAGCACCCAAGGCCGCAATGATTAAACTTGTTACTCCACTGAAAGATCAAAACCTTGTAATAATACGGATTATTTTACAACTTTCTTTCTATTTTTCTTTGACATTGACTAATTGTAATTCTCAAAATTGTAAAACTAAGAGGTCTCTGCGGAGAAAAAGAAATCAATTTTAAAGTTCAAAAAATTGGAAAAATATCAATGTTTTTGAAAAACGCTCGTAATGCAGTCCCAGACAACCTGATTTCCCCCCTGGAGACTTGCGCTTCCGTCCTTGTTTGGTTCGTCACATCGATCGTTCAGATCACACACCTAGCTACAGGCCGACACCTACGGTCACCTACGGTGGCCAAACAACCTTATCAATGCGACACCGTAGGTACTCGTTACTCTTGAGTCAACTTTCGACTGGGGAGGGACTGGGGATGAAATTGAGTACCAGACTCCGAGTCGACCCCGCGGTCATAAAAATATGGCCGACAGTTGGAGCCATGATTACGGAAAAATTCACGGTACTAGTATTACTGATATTTCTATGTATGATATCGTTCTTCTTCTCCTTACATGCAAAAGAATTTCGTTACAAGCATTACACATTCAGAAAGAAGCAGCGACTAGTAAGTAATTTGCCTAATATAATTATGTTAGGCCATAAGCTTTCAACATTTTGTTTGTGCTAAGCTTAAGCTTATATGAGGGTCTGAATGGGGGGGTCCACTTGTCGGTTGTCGGTTAAAATTCAGTTACTTTGTCGGTAGTCGGTTAAAATTTTCGATCTTTGTCGGTAGTCGGTTAAACTTTTTTATTTTGGTCGGTTGTCGGAAAATCTCAGTTAATAAGTAAAAACGCTTGTTAATTATTAATATTTTTTATGTATTTCACCCAGTTTCTAGACTTTGATCCCTAAGGAAAGAGTAAAACTTGTAAAAATGCATCATTTGATTGCACTGAAGCCCATTAACTCTTGTTTGTTTAAGCAACATGATCGTTTATTTCACCATTGTTTGCCAAATTAATATCATGAGTACTGATAAAATCACCAAACCTTTGATTGTAAATGCGAACTTGGTTTCCCTGTCGACTACAGGGCAAAGTAAGAAGTAATTAATTAATGAATGGACTCCAGCCTTTTGGGTACTTAAATTGTTCTTAGTGAAAAACGGCAAGGGGTGACAGGGTGCACATCTATACCTTTAATGTGTTGGCTCTAACAAGCATGTCCTTTGCCATAATTTTTCTTTCTCAAAGAAATAACACTTTAACCCTCGGACGGAGAAGGAGTGGGGGGGGGGTGGGGAGGGTGGATGCCACCCCCTTCTGGGATTTTTCCACGAGGATAAAACATCAGCACCGGACGTTTTCAGTAGATATTCGTTTATGATCCCTTGCACGCATTTTGAGACGAGTTCAGTGATGATCAGTTTCTATGGTTACCAGGTATGACGTAACAAGTAGCAGGTGGTCAAGCCAGTTTGAGTGAATTCACCTTTTTTCAAAAATAAAAGTAAATCTTGTGGCTAAAATCATGCAAAGTGTTATTTATGTGTTATTATTCACGTCAAGCAATTACCATTTCTCGCTGTTTTAACCTGATTTCTAATTCTTGGTAAAATCCAAGATGGCGGACAAGATGGCGACCATTGTTGGTCACGTCATAGGCCTCCAGCAGCGCCACCATTCATAAAATATACCTCATCTTGTTAAGAAGATCAAAGGCCTTTCAGTGAAGGCAAAATCGCTTTGAAATACTGCAACATATCAAAAACTCTGGGGAGGGGTTCCATCTACCCTCCTCTTGGCGGGGGTATGATTTTGCGTGTACGTCCGAGGGTTAAGTGGCAAGGTAGTTGTAGGTTTTGTATAAGATTACACTTCTTCATTAAAGTTTCTTTTATAATACACACTAAGGGCTTGTATTGCGTCATGAAAGGCAATATTTCTTTTTCTTCCTTGTTGTTTTGTTTCAGGAGCGTTGCTTTCCTTCTGTGAATTTTACTTCTAATAGCACTGAATTTTTCTTTCAAAATTGTGTGGCCACCCTCTGTACATCAACCGCTTTTTACCGGGGCCTAGCCTAAGGCTATATTGCTGGCTCGTTACTTTTGGGAGTGTTCGCTGAGATGTATCGCTGGTTGAGAAATTTGAAGTAGGGAGCAACAACTGTAACCATGTAAATATTAATTCGATTAGTTTGCACACGGAATCGTTTAATGCCACTATATTTACCACTTATCAATAAATGAGATCCCAGTCTATTGCAAAATATTAGTACAGTATTCATCCTAGCGATGACAAAGCTTGGTCGAGGTAGAACTGTGTACACTACGACAAAGCAAAAATCTTAACTTATTAAACTTGCATGCGCCAAGCTTTATTTATGCGTTTCAATACCTTACAATTCGCACTCCCTGCAGGAAACTTCGTCAAATATTTTCCGAAAAACAATTAAAACTCATTAGGAGGAAGTCTATCACTGCTTTGACTTGTGAAGCAACAAAACAAAATATTTTCAAATAACCTTTGTCACGCAATATTTACGTTAGCGAGATGCGCAAATTCTCAACTGTTCAAAATACGGGATTCCCTAACATTTTGTCTTTTCACATTAATCATTACACCTTGTTTTCATCTCTAAAGAATATTTGCAATAAAAAAGATTTTCATGTCGCCCGACAAACTTGTTGATGAAAACGACCCTTCCACGTGGGTTGCCAAGACAAAAGTGGCCCCGGTAAAATTCACGAAGTGATTCTTGTTGAAATCTGAAATACTTCCTCAGAGGAGTTTTTTCGTAGAATGCTCAAGGCTTCTTGTTTGTCAAATCCATTTTTTTACAATTGGTGGGTGATAAGAAGTGAAAATGTATATGCTGGGAGGTTTCCGTTTAAAATGCGTCTTTACGTCAATGATAGCTTTTTCTCATTTTTCGTTGAATGTTGTGCCTTGGTATACAACCGGGTCTAAAAAGATTGTCTCAGTGTCAGATATTTCAGCTGTAAATTTCATAGCCAGTAGAGTGGTAGGGTGAAGTAAGTTTACTTGTTCCGTGAATTTGAAGAAATCTACCATGTTTACTTATGTCCCATAGGGAAAAATATCATGTAGCGTTTTCAAACAGTTGGTTAAAAATTTAAAGACGGTTTTGCTTAAACTTTGTGCTTCAATATATGCGGCCATGAAAATGTTGGAAAGGAAACTGCTGTATGTGCTCATCGCGGTACTGTGGTATTTTTCTCACTGATAGTGCTTTCCATTAAACTAGAGCGAATTTTCTTTGATGATTAATCTAAACATTCCTCGTACCGAAACAAGAAACGTTCAGTTTTTTCACCTTTGTCTTTTCAATAAAATTTATAAAGTCGGTAGCATCTCTAAGGTGTGTCTTCTGTGATTATGATATTAGTTGTAGTAATGTTGTAGAAAAAAATGCAAAATTCTCTTTTTTCTGAAAACAAATATTGATAATGTCAGCCCATGTCGGTAGTCGGTAATTTTTTACTCGTTTTGTCGGTAGTCAGTACTATTTTTCGCCCCTTGTCGCTAGTCGGTTAACCCCATTCAGACCCTCTTATATTTTACTGCTTATGTTCAGTTGATGAACCGTGCAGTGTTTTGTTTCTTATATGCATAAGTCATGAGGGCTTTGACCTAGTGCAAGACCCTGGATGTAAGAAAATGGAATTGAGCGGCTTATTCCATAATAAAATTATTAAAACATTCCTCGGCATAATAAACAAGCAAATAAGAATGTATAGTAAAAACTCCAGTGACTAAATGGGGACGTTAATTCCTCCCCTCCCCTCCCCCCGCTCCCACTCCAAAGATGGTGGACAAATGACCCAGCCCCTGTGGACAAATGTATCAACAGTGCTGACAAAAAATGAACTCTTTGGATTTAATTTTTCAAAGGGTGCCAACAAACATTCGAGGGTGTGGATGCCAGTCATCCTTAGGCAAGGGGGGGGGAGGGGGGGAGGTGTGGATAAAAAATGGAACATCCCGTAATTATGGTACACCAGTCATGTCTGTGAGCTCTTACCATTTGTATGGAAAACCCATGGAACGGTTCATCCTGGTGGAAATTATCCGCAAAAAAAGTAATACCTTTCGAGGTATTAACTTTTTCCCCTTCTTACCGAAACGACTGAAATTCTCTGTACCATTTGTTTGGATTACCAGTGCCAGGCTTCATGTTGAGAGAAAGTGAAAAATTTACCGGTATTTTGTAAATGGTGCAACTAAATCCCGTTCCTGTTTTCAGTGCCAAAAAAAATACTAGTACCACTTGACAGAAATTTTTCACCAAAATTTCCGTACAAATGGTAAGGGCTCCGTGTCTTGGTCTTGTCCCTTTTATAAGCATGTAACAAAAATGCAAAAATTTATAAACTAAGGGACACTTTTTTTGTGTGTATTATGATGAAAAAAAAATTGTGATATGTGGGCACTCTAATAAATTTAATCTAAAATTTTCCCTCTGTCTTTCAATTGTTTTAGGCTAAGAAGTACTCACCACTGGAAAAGGGTTGTGAAGTTAATCAATGTAAAGACCTTTTTGGATTAGAGTTGATCAAGTGTACAAGGAAGTGCATATCACAGACTTGTTATGACGAGTTATATGCCTGGGATGAGGTAAATAAGAAAGTGTCTGTCATATTAACATGTTAGGTATGTTGCATGATGTGTGTTCAATCTTTGACCCCCTGGAGGGTACTTCACCAGTATTTGTGTATAGGTGAGCTGCTGAGGGTTAAAAACCTTGACCCTGCTGAGGACAAAACAAAGATCCTATTATTTAAAACACATACCTGTTTATGACACAATAAACTCAACTTGACGTCTTGTTTTAAAGCCATTTATTGGCAATTGCAATAGAGCAAATTTACATTATCATTTGCTTTATTGTATAAATGGAGTACAAACAATTTCATCAAGCAAATCAAGTCAATCATACAGGCAATGCCCTGTTTATAATTAGGACTTGACTAATTAGACTTGCACAAAATTATATACCCTGTTTAGGACGGAGAGGACAAAAACCATATCCTGTCCTGCAACACATCCCCGTATAGGCCATACAAGGGAATACATGTACACCTCCCTGGGCTTTGACTACCTGTAAAAGCTAAGAGTGTGAATCCCTGTCCAAGCTTTTGCTTTAACTCCTTGCTGGGCCACACATGTTGTGCACTTCTAAGCAATGTTTTCACTGCTTTTCCATTACACTTCAGTTCCTCAAAACATTCATTTTTCTTTTTACAAGGCACCAATAACTGCTTTTGTCAAGTTTAATGCTGATATATCTAGTAGAATTTCTTATTCATTTTTTTTGTTTTGTTTTGTTTTGTTTTAGATTTTTTTTTACTGCAGAAAATTACATGTATTATTTTATAGTTTCTATTTTTTTTTTCACCTATTAATTATTTACCTACTTATTTACCAGTTATCATAATTATTTCTAACTGTTCAATATTATTTTTCTTTATTTCAAGCTTGAGGAAGGTGAGATTGATGTACGTCTAACTTCATTCAAGGGTTGCGTCGTGAAGCAGCTCCAGGAACAGGAGAGCAGGAATCGTGGATTATGATGTTACTAATAATGGACTATCAAAAACCATATTAAACCTGTGATGGGTAATGTGACTGCAGCTGAAACACATCTAACTCACACCCTAAATGATCAGAATGACCCAACAAGCTTCATTCAAATATAAAATTCATGCACAAACTTTCAATTCCACTGTGCCATATTTCATTGTAACAAAGGACATGTAGGTAATGGGAATATTAGGCTACAGTCTAACCTGAGTCTTTACAGACACCTATATAATGCGGACACCTTTATTATGGACAGTTTGTTTGGTTCCAGAAATGCCAAAAATCATGATACATTCTCTACCTCTATAATACGGACACCTCTGTAAAGCAGACACTTAATTCTGTCCCTTTGGTGTCCGTATTAAAGAGGTTTGACTGTATTATTTTGGGGGGGATAAAGGACCACAAGTGAGTCAAGTCCTTTGTGATTTGGGTTTTTATTGGCCAGTTTACAGTCATACAAAATTAATCTGAAACAGTTTGCAATATAATTTATTGTGCCACAATGTGCAAAACTTAGGGCGCTTTCCAAAAGTCAGAAATGACTGAAGTAGTCATTTTAACAATGAAATAGGGTTTTTTTTAAGAGCTTTTACTGAAAAACCACTTCCTTCTCGCATCGTATTTAGGATTTGACTTATCTGGTTGGATAGTTTTGACTAAAAGTTAAAAATTCTCATTACTATGGGAATGGTCCAGATGGCTGCTCAGTTCTGACAAATGGAAAGTGCCCTTAGTGTAATCATGGATAATAGAAAGACCAAGTCTTTGTATTATCCATGGTGCAATATGGAATGATTCAATGAGAGTGTTGTGATTGAAATTAAGTTATAATCATGACAATGCTGGACATTCTTGCTGAAAACATAACTCTAAATTGCATTGTCTAAATAGTGACAGGACACCCAAGAAGCCACAGGAGACCCATAGATTACTGTGCAGCTTGCCTGGGGCATCACGGCAATTGGGGGCAGGGGGGAGGGGGTTAGGCTCTTATTTCATTAATAATTAGACATTGTTTACTTTAAGTAAACACAATAACCTGCTTTATTACTGGTAGACATGGAGAATATCACCTTTAAGTGCACAGTACTACTGTAGGTACAAGTACTAGATGTACCTCCATCAACACCCATCCATGTACATTCAAAGGCCATAATTACCTTGTAAAATAATATTTTTTATTTATTTCAAGTAGTACTGATTCCATGTCATACTTCACTTTAACTTTTATTCTGCTAATGGCATTTATAGAAACAAATGTATATATGTCCAAGTAGAAACATTTTGAGGAAAATTTAAAATTTGCCAATGGTTATGATGTATTACCTTCTTAAATGAGTACCATGCATTGTCTGTACAATCTAGACTGTCTCTAAACCCAAGGACAAGCAATGGTTGTGAAATGTTATGTTTCTTGGTACAAAAAAAATAGTACAATAGTGCCAAATGATCTAACACAAAAGACTAAGACAACACTTACTCCTCAACACAAAAGCTAGGTAAACCAAAAAAGGTGGCACAAAAACAAGAAAATACACTTTGTTAAAAATAAAAATGATATAAACTGAATAGTTAACTAAGAAAATGTATTGACCTTCTATTTAAAAGGACAGAAAACTATTATGTACATGTAACATTGCCGCTATTGCTATAACTACTTTTATCACTTACAATTATTATCCTACTGATAAGAAAATTTTTTTATCCTAGCTAAAATTGTTTGCTTTACAGCTATTAAAAATAAATAAACTCAAAAATGCCCTGAAGTTTCATTAATATTACCTGCCAGTGGAAAAGACCAGGTGCTGTATTAGCCTGAGAAAACAGCCGACATTTTCCAATGCCACCACTAGTTTACCTCTGAAGTGACGTCTAAAAGTGACTGCAGAAATTCCATACTGATGATGTGTGTCACTTACTAGATCTGGGAAGTGATTCTGATTGGTTGAAGCAAATTTCCCTCGTGGTGCACCCAATCAGAAGTACTACCCAGATCTGGGTAATGAGGCGTCATTTCGCAAGGAAACTGGTGGAGGTGTAGTGATATGTCGGCTGCTTTCTCAGGCTAGGAACTTATTTACAGTATGCTTTGCAGAGTGTAGGGTTGTCCAGTAATGCTCAATGTTACACACTATTATGCCAATAATTCTTTATGCTCAACAAATGGCACTATTTAACATGCGATGCTCAAAATAATAGCATCACTCATTTTATGCATAGGTATGTGCATTGTGCATGAGTTTCATTCAGGTGTTGAGACAACTAAGGTAATCTAAGCTGACAATGTTGTAGAACTGGAACTGCTGAAAGCCACGTTTACTGCAGGTGTACTGGTCTTAAAATGTGATACCAGGTGGACTGGTGTCTCCTTGTCATCCTACAGTTTTGACAAAATTTTTTATAAAACATGAAGAGTCAAAGAATCTTGCACTATAATTCCAGCATAATGCTTGATTCCTTTGCCTCCCTGTTATGCGCAATATTATGCTGGTAAAATGTAGACTCAATGTGGCCAACCCCTGCGGTGCTGCAAATTGGCCCATAGGTATTGTACTGACACTGTTTGTGCATGAAGCCAGCACCAGATTACGGAGCATGTAAGAAACTATTTTTAATAGTAATATTTTAAAATTAAATACCACAACAACAGTACTGGAAAGAGTAAGGATACAGTGCCAGCCAGGCAGCCATGCACAAAAATAATACAGAAAATTAATGGAAAAAGCAGTAATGTGGAAACATTCATCCGTATTTTGAGTGCTTTATCCTAGTCAGTAAAATAAACAATCAGCCCTAATCAATGAAAGTTGACCAGGAATGCGTAATTCTGCAAATTTACCACCAGCAAAACCGCACTTACAATACACTGTACCCATAGAGGACTACGTACAAGCATTTATCATGTATTTGCAATTAATTCATAAAACATTTCCCATGACTCACACAAACTGCATGGCTTACTGGCTCACAGTTTGTCTAGACAGGGCTACGACAAAACACTGACCCCCTACTAACCCGTCTTACTGACACCCCCTCTACAATTCACTGGAAATTATAGAAAATAACTAAACTTAACAATACCAAAGGATGATATAAGCTATATGATCAGATAAGAGAACTAACAATATTGTGGTAAAACAAGTTTGAATAATGATGGCATGAAACAAATCATCCACCTTCCACCATTTCGGAATTTAAAGGTGAGTGTATTAATTTGGAAGTTAGATTATCTCGTCCTCTTGAATCACTAAGTTTAATTTGTAACTTCCAGTAAATTTAAGAGGGGGTCAGTTGAACTGGGCTCCGTGTGTTGTCCTAGCCTGATTGTCCAGTCCGTACAATATGCGTATACTGTACAAGTACACATAGTTTAAACTCATCAAACAGGCTTTGCCATTTTCTTACTGCGCAGAAAGCCACGTGCCTCTGTAAGCAATTCATCAACATCGTCATCATCATCATTATCACCTCCACCCTGTGGTTTCCAGTCAGAGTCATCAGAGCCTGCAGAGTAACTGCTGCCCTCTTCTTCGTCAGCATCATCTATAAAGCTGTCATTGTAATCGTATGTGTTTGGTCCATCATCATCACTTTCATTAGCAACTACACTCTTGCGCTTGGATTTGGACTGTTTGGGGCGATCTGTAATAATTTGAATGTAAAAATTGCACATAAGTCTCCTACAAAGCTGTTATCACAGTTGTCACACAAATCTGCTACTCTCCACAAGGAGCATTGCTAAGTCACAACCGCATTATTAATGGTGGCCACATGAGACTATAAAAATTAAAGTATAAACATTTTGGACCAGTAAGACAGTCACTTTGTTATTATAGTATACTCCGTAGTTATATTTGGAGGTTTTATTTTGGTTTAGCTTAGCTGGCTTGTAAACTACAGTATGAATGGTAAACTACAACTATAATAGTGGAGCTCGCCATGCCTAAGAACATTTAATTTGGTAATCCATCCATCCAAGAAATTTTGGTAAAGACATGTCCATATGCCCGACCGTCCATCCATTCACACAATAGGTATACCAATGTAAAATAACTCAATTAACAGGTATGACACCACAGGCTACTTGAGGTGTTTTTTGCAGGAAATCGCATGGCCACCAGGACTTTTAGAGAGAAAAAACATCAACAAAGTCAAGTCTTTTTAGAATTATTTTTGATGTCTACACTCACGTGGATAACCGAGAAACAGCTAGAGCAAGTGATTAAAAACAATGGAGATGAATTTCATTGGAAGAAAAACATGAAATTTCACAGCGGTGAAAAAAATAAAAACGAACAGAAACAAAAGCAACAAAATTTTTGGTGGGCACATACGACAATTCCTCCATAAAACATAATGGGTAACTAGGTAGTTTCACATTTTGTTCCTGCAAAATGGCATAGTAGTTGTGTAAAACGGCAAAGAAATGTCCACATTGTTTTGAAGAATTGCATGAAACGACCCAAGTAAACCCCTGCTCTGTTGACAAATTCTGTCCTTGATTTATAAGCATTTGGTATGCAAGGCAAATAGGTCAGGAAGGAAAATCAAAAACATTAATATTCTTTAATATCAGAAGACAATTGGCGCTATACTCCAGGCATCCCTTCATTACTTTGTGAGGGCAAAAAAAAACTCTATTCCATTTCCTGGAAAATTTGGTACTGGCTGGATCTGTTATAACTTTATTATGAAAGGTGGTTACATGCACATGCACACAGTCAGGTGGTTTTGATCTTCTCTCTAATAGACCCTTTCATGGCTTTTTTCAACTTTTGACTGGAACCTGAGCTCGCAGAAATCTTTCAACACAACTGCAAAGAATGCCTCAAAATCAGTGAAGCTGCTAAGTTTGAAAGTTATTAATTTGGTGAAAAGTAAGTCTCTGATACAGCTCTTGTATGTATGTACATGTACGTAGGGATAGAAGGCAGGGCCCCACCATACAAACATCTGTTCAATTTTGCAACTTTGTGAAGCAATATCT